GACAACCATCAATCCACAATTATTCTCTTTAACCTCATTTACACAAGTTCCTACAGAATAGACACAATAGAGAACATACTAAAATCTTTATTCACCAGACTAACTAAATATTATTAAAAAAAATATATAAAAAAAATAAATTATCCCAAAACAGCAACAATAATGTTCACCAAAGGCCTACTGTAGCGAATCATATTATCCTGAACGATACTAGATCCCCTGGGCTCAATCAGTTACCTATCATGGACTGCAATTAGATAAAAGATTAACTTTTACACCACATATCAATAATAAATGCGGTAAATCTAAAAAACTCATCCCTTTCACAAAAAGAAGAAAATTAAACTTAACACAATTAATTATCCATGCAAATAGAGGTGCAATAGAAGTCACTGAATACAATAAAGTTCTTAAATGTTTATCTTGGCATGAAATTTCTTTTAGAACACACATCCAAAATACTTACGACAAAGCAGCCAAAACATTAAACATTATAAAATCAATAATAGGGGTAACTTGGAGAGCCCACCCACATAATCTACTTACCGTTTACAAAACTATGACCAGGCCAATAATACACTATGCATCCATAATATACGAGTCTAGCTCACCATTAATAAAAAACTAGATACAATACAAAACAATGCTCTTAGGTATATTTAGGATCATTCCGCACAAGCCCTACAAATGCATTGCAAGCAGAAGCTGGTCAATTTCCTCTTCTAATGAGAAGAAATTGATCAATAAAAAAATTATTTTTAAAAGTGGCCTCAAATAGTTCTCACCCGCTAAATCACGCTATTCGAAACGCCACCTAACACATTCCAAAAGTAAGAATCATAGTCCAAGAAACAAAGCATCTATTTAATAAACTTGCCATCAACCCTGGACCACTCGACCTATGTATTCCCATACCAAAATCTCAAATTATCATAAAAACCAATTCCAAGCTTTTCCAATCAGATTTGTCCAAAATACAATATCCACCATCAGTTCTAAAACAGAAAACACTCGAAATATTGTCTGAAAATATAAAAATTATCAAAAGATGTATACAGACGCATCTAAAGATAAAAATAAAGTTGCAGTCAAATAAAAAAAAATACTTATCAGTACAATGGCTCCCTAATTTCGAAGAAAATCTTCCATTTCAATAAAAAACAAAATTATTTTATATAAATCAATAATATGCCCTTTAATATCATATGCTTGTTCAGTATAAAGTTTATATTATCCAGTATGAAGAATGAAAGGATTTATTGGATAGTATGTATGATGTATGGTGGGAATAGGTAGCTAATAAGTTTATATAATAATCCATTATGCCATATTGTGTCAATTGCTTTTTTTCATTAAATCCTGCAGTGATGTAATCAGTAATTCTGGGTAAATGGGTTATAGTAGAATGATGAGTTCTGAATCCGAACTGTTCGTTAATCACTATGTTGTTGAGAGATAACTTATTAATTTTCTTTAAAAATAAATTGTGGAACACATAAACATTTAAAGGGAACGGATTAGAATTTAAACTATTTCTTTTCAACAACAAACCATATATAGTGTCAATATGTAATGCCTGGCTGGCTTATATAGTGATGTATAGGTTATATAGTGATACGCATGACTCAAACTAAAAAATTAGAAAGGGTACAAAATCTGTGTATGAGAATCATAAAGGATTATCCTAGATACACAAGAATAACCAAAATGTTAAATTATTGGATGAAGTTAGTTGTCATGGGTGATAAATACCCAATACTTGAATATCTTCAGTGCTCAAAACACGCCGCCCTGATGATGACCCACTTGTTTGGGTTGAAACGTCGGCACTAATAAAAACTTTATAATTACTGCGTCCTGAACATTTATCGCCCATAAAATGTTAAATGATTTAGAATTCGAGACAATTAAACAATTCATGTACTCACAGACCAATAAATTTTTCAACTCAACAAATACATCAGTAAACCCCATAATTAATGAAATGGGCAATTACAGTAAGTTAAGTTCAAGAAGATACAAACACAGACGTATGAAACATATTTTACTTGAATAAAACTGACCAAAATAATGTTGCTTTAGATTCATTGAGTACTTATTTTATTTTAGTTTAGCTTAATTAACATATATAAAATATACTAAATATCTTCATTTAAATATGCATAGTTTTTAATTTTATTATTATTGTTTATTTTATTTAAATAATGATTATTATTTTTTATAATGTAGGTTTTTCCGACGGTAAAAAAACAAAGGAATGGTATTTAAGTTAATAATTTTAGTATTACTGCAGTGTGAAATTATGAAATGAAAGGAAAAACATGTACGTTTATTATGTTTATCTTAGGACAGCAACTCGGGGGGAGAGGGGAGGGGGCTCTTGGCCTCCTCTAGGAGCTTCTGCCATCCAGCTCGATCCATTGCTGCTGCCTTCCAGTTCGGTGCTCCTAATAGTTTCTTGGAGTCAGTCGCCACACCATATATTTATCTTAGCCTGGTTCTTCCTCTCCTCCTGGCACAGTCAATCCTATCTTCAAGGACTCTTCTGGGAATATCACCCTCCTCCATCCGAATCACCTGGCCAGCCCAACTTAACCGTCCAAGTTTTATGAAGTCGACGACAATTAAGTCATTAAACAGAGTGTATAAACCCGGGTTCCTTCGTCGCCTCCCAAACTTCTTACTCTTTCAGAGCCATGTATTGGTCGCAAAATTTTCCATTCGAATATGAGGAGGCTATTAGACTCATTAGAATAATCAAAGTTCTATATATTCTTGCTTTAGTTTGTCTTGTGAGTTGTGATTGGCTCCTGATCTGCCTCTTTAAGCCAAAATAGCAACAGTTGGCTGCTGTTATCCTCTTTCCTATTTCCTTCGACATGTCATTGGTCAACGTGATAAGGGATCCGAGGTAGGTGAACTCCTGTACTCTTCGAAATTTGTTTGGGTCTATTTCTATATAACTTTCAACTTGCTGAGCTCTGTCGCCCTTTACCACCATATATTGAATTTTGGCCTCATTTATCTCAAAGCCCAACAGCAAAGGTGCCTGTTAAATTGCAAGAAAAGCTTTACTCAGCTCAGATTTAGATCTTGCAACTATGTCAATATCGTCAGAAAAACCCAAGATTTGGACACTTCTGTTATCAATAGTTCCTCTTGTCTGTACTTCGGAATCCCTTACTGCCTTTTCAAAGATTAAAATGAACAGCAGACATGCCAACCCATCCCCCTGTTGCAACCCCTTATTGGTCTGAAACTCGCCTGAGCACTCTCTTTGCATTCTGATGACATTCCTAATATTTTACATGGTCATCTTAACAAGGCAGGTAAGTTTCCTGGGAATGCCAAGTCTTTATGTGCCTTGTAAATTTTAGAGTGATTAATGCTATCATATAGATTCTTGAAATCTATGAAAAGATGGTGGGGAGCAGGTTAGCTCAGTGGTAGGGCACTAAGCTTTCAATGCTGAAAGTCCCCAAGGTTCGAATCCCTGCTCATGGCAGACAAATTATTTATTCTGTTTCATTAGCCGTGAGGCGGCCCTGGGGTAAGAAGACCCTCCTGGGGCACACCCAGCCTCTAAAAAGTGAGTACCCTTAATTAAATAATTAATGAAGGGAAAAACCTGATGATTGAGCATGATCCTGGCCCGATCCCCTCCTTGCACAACCGTTGTCCTTGAAACAGTACTTTCTCTAAATAGTAATGAACCCAAGACCCTTCATGGGTTGTAGTGGTACAGGTTAGGTTATGAAAAGATAGTAGATTGTCATATTATATTCAATCCACCTCTCCATGATAGTCCTAGGGGAAAATATTTGTTCCTCTGTGGATTTCCCACTTCTAAAGCCAGATTGGTACTTTTCTACTATTTGTTCATCATTGGAACACAATCGATTGAAGAGGACTCAGAAAGAATTTTATATGCGGATGGGAAGAGCAATTATTATGTGTAAATTGTAAATATTATTAAATAAACTTACTATTGTAGTGGTTCATTTGCCTATTTGTCAAAGATAAATTATTTGAACGTTTCAAGGAAAAATTCGTCCTCCTGAGCAATCTAAAATATTACAATGAATAAATATTTTTAGGTTCATTCATGAATCCAGTCATTATTAACAAACATAACATAATGCTTAAAAAACAGTATCCCATAAACAAATATATTGGAGGAAGTTAGTCGACTGTTTGGATTGAAACGTCGGCACTGATAAAACTTTATAATGACTGTGTCCTGAATATTTATCACCCATGATAAATAAATATAATAATTCACTTATAAAACACTGCTAAAAACAATATAAATTTGTATATTATTCACCCAAGAAATTGGGTAGTCAAAAAATTTCAATTCATCAGAATTGGTCAATAGTACTTAACTAAGTGGATTAAAGTAACAATTAGGGTTGGAAATAGAGGGGATGAAGATATTAAAAATGCTATTTTATAGTTATGCTTATTATTATATAAATTTGTATTGATAAGTTTACATGTTTACCCCAATAAACATGAAATAATTCATTAGTCCTCTAGTATCATCTTATGCCTACCAGGCATCTCATCGGATACCAAGCAGCTATAATCAATGTGGTGAAAAATGAAGGAGACAAGTAGTGGGAAGGGGGGGGGGGTTAAGGGACATAGGTTTTAACATAGACATAGGGTTTTAAGGGGCCCAAAATCATAAGAACTGTTTAAGAATAGCAATGAATTTTTGGTGATTTAGGTGATATGATAATTCCAGGATAGGTTTTGATTTCTAACAGATGTGGGAGTATATAGGTAGATGATTGAGCTAAATTAGGAGATTATAAGCAATTAAGGAAGTGCATGGAGCCATTAAGGTTGGGCTTGGTTTTTTCAACTTTTAAGTTTTTTTTTTGCCAAACATAAATACATTAAGCATTCTTTAATTACATAAATTATTGCTGCTCCCTTTAAATTTAATGTATTTTTGATTTTAAATTAAATTATTTCTCTTGTTTTGTTTTTAGGTAAACCATTTACAGTTGGTCAAGCCTTATCTTCGCTCAGTACAATCATTAAACAATAAAGCAATAAATGAAGCTCTGAATAATCTTTTAATTGAAGAAGAAGACTTTCAGGTAACTATATCAGTTTGTATTATGATATATAAATTTTAATCTTCGAGAGGAATATATACATACAAAAATTATTTATGTATGTATATATTATATTGACATAGAGGAGGTTTCTATGTCTGTATGTATACAGTATAATTGCATTCAGTGTTTGTAAATTAATATGTGATGTATTAAAATTGAAATTTATTATACTCCTTATTATCCAAAAATAAAACAGTCACCTCATAAGGATCAAATGACAATAACGACATGAGTTTTTCTACAGCATATGGAATGGTTATTTGAAGAACTTTTTTCTTAACAAAAATTAGATGGATTGATCAATACACAATTTGATCAATTTTCTATCTTTTGGCATAGATCAAATTGAGTTTTATTAATGATACTACTTAAATTAAACTATTTTATTTTATTTTAGGGTGTTAGAACATCAATTGATGCTTTTGATAATTTTGATAATATTGTATTAGCTCAAAAGCTAGAAAAGCATGAGTTGATTGAATTTAGAAGGATAGCAGCATATCTGTATAAAGGAAATAACCGATGGAAGCAGAGTGTTCAATTATGCAAGAAGGATAGACTGTTCAAGGTATTATTTTATTTCAGTAAAAATTAATCTGTCTATGTATTCATTTTATATTTACAATTTTTTATTGTAGATATGTATCTGATTTGGTTTAATTTTGAAAGTAAATTGGTTTGAAATATTTTGTAGTAAATCAAATTTTATTTCTTAATAATAATAAAAGAACGATTTCATCCTTATCGTGTATTTAAAGCAGACTTATGCTCCTGATCTTGATGCATAATTTTTTTATGTAATATGAAGTATTTAATATTGTTATACACTTTTTGTCTTTAAGTTTTATGTAAAAAAGTTTTTAATCATTTTTATTTAGACTATCTTAATTGTCACCGTGTGTTTATTTTATATTATTATTACAGCATTTGCAATCTTTTGGCTATTATGTAATCCTCAGGCATATTTGTTTTATTATTATATTTTATGATGGGGCTACATAAATATGTATTGTTCTCAGTGTCATTGTTGAAATGTAAAATTTAATATAAAATAAACATAAGGTGAAGACTAAAACAATCAAATAGTTATTTTATACATTTTGATTTCAGTAAAAATGTTATTCCCTTTGCCTCCAAATTTTTTTCTCCTTTTCTTTTTTGTTTTGTTTTTTTGAACATTTTATTATTTGGTTCCGAATTAAATTGATTGAAATGTCGGGACGTAGAGGTGGGTGGAAGAGAAAAGTTGAGAGTTAAGAAGGAACTTTTCTTACATAAATTCAATTTACAAATTTCCAACTTGATACATTAATTTAGAGGGGTCATAAAAATGAATCGATTTTTATACAGCGATCACTTCAAGCAGTGAAGAGTGCAGGTTGGAGAATGAGGCAGGGAAAATGAGGCTATGCATCAACGAAAATAAAACTAAGGTCCTTGTTTTAAGAAAGAAAAAGCTTGTCCATCCACCACAGCATTATCTCTTAGGAAACCACACTTTTCAAGCTGTATCAAGTTTCACCTACCTCGGGTCCATAATTAACAACAGCAATAATGAAGAGGAGGAGATAGGAGCTAGAATAATGGCTGCCAACAGAGCGTACTTTTCTCTAGCGAGCCTTCTGAAAAGTAGATTGTTAAGTCGTACAACGAAGTTTAGGATATACAAAACGATTATTCGGCCAGTTGCAACATATGCGTGTGAAACATGGACTCTAACAAAGGCATCTGCTGAACGAATAGATCGGTTTGAAAGGAAAATACTAAGACGGATAATAGGACCTAAACTGGAGGAAGGAGTTCCCCGCTTGAGAACAAACAAGGAGGTATACTCAATGTACGGTGATCTGTCTATCTCCAATTCGCTCGAGTGCAACGAATGAAATGGTTAGGACATGTCCTGAGAATGGATGAAGCGAGGACAGCGAGAAGGCTTTATCATGGGAAGCCAGAGGGAGTTAGGTCTAGGGGAAGACCGAAGGCAAGATGGATAGATAACGTAAAAGAAGACTTGAGAAAAAAGGCATATCCATCAGGTGCGCAGCCAACAGGGATGACTGGGCAAAGGAGATTGAGCAGGCCAAGGACCGCTACATGCGTCTGTTGTGCCAATAATGAATGAATGAATAAAAATGCACAAAGCGTTAAAAGGTGAGAAAATGGTTAGTGTCAAAATGCAGTTCTCTAGCTCCTACTCAATTTAAATATGGGGCGGAGTGGCCAAGTAGGCTAACAGGAGTACAAAACACGCGTTGCCCAGCAACATGATAAACAGATGTTTACAAGATATAAGAATTACAGTTTCCCGTCCTGGTGCCATAGGGGCTTTAATCTCTGACATTAATCTCCTGCCCTCCCCGCGGGGGAAAATAAAAAAAAATCCCTATTTAAATACAAAATCTATTTGATATAAAGGGACTCCATTTAAAAAATAATAATAATAAATTTATATATTAGACGTTTTCAGAAATCCCATATATATGTGCAGACCAGTACTCGAATATACTTCTCTAAAATAAAATAAAAAGTGTAACATGAGTATAATTGTGATAAGAGCTTACATTACACTATAGGCAGCTGTACTCATTATTCCTATATTGGAATCCTCAGTCCCAATTGTATCATATCTCTTTTTTGGAAATAACATTTTCCTTAACAGGTCCAAATATCCTGTATTATCTGATACACAATCTCCCATAAATCAACATAATCAAGGTTAAGAACTTTCAGAATCCCATAAATAAATTAAAGGTTTTAAATAAAAAGCCTATTAGTGCAAAAAACTAAAATAATTCATTAGATGTAATCTTATTTTATGAACTAAATTTTTTCATTAATTATTACTGAGTTCCTATAATTATTACTCTAAAAAAGTCAAAAAAGAATTATCCAACTTCAAATCCCAATCCTTTAACTCTTACCTTACCTCCCTCTCCGCTCACGACAATTCCCTCTGGAATAACACTAAAAAAATTCTAAAATCCCAAAATATTTCCCATCCCCATCGTCGAAGCGATGGCTCCTGGGCTGCGTCTGATGAAGACAAAGCTGAGGAATTCGCCAAACACCTCTCCTGTACATTTACTCCTCATCCTGAATCCCATTTCATACATACAGCAAAAGTAGAAAAATTCCTCTCCTCACCAATTCCACTTTCCCTACCACCAAAAGCAGTTCATCCTTCTGAGGTCAAATATCATTTGCAAAAATTATCTTCCCACAAATCTCCTGGATAAGACCTTCTAACCCCACAGATCCTTCATCCACTACCAACCAAAGCGATCATATTCCTCACATATATATACAACTGCATCCTAAGAACTACCCATTTTCCTCTCTTATGGAAACATTCCACCATCGTCCTTTTCCTGAAACCAGCCAAACCTTCCAATAATACATCATCCTTTCTATTGCCCATGAAGATAAATACAATTTATGTTGCGCCAAGTGTAAAGTTATTTATCACGGCAAGTGTTTTAATCTCACAGACAAAGAGATAGAAGCTCTGAGAAGTACAAAAAAAAACATGGATGTGCCTAAGTTGCGATCAAGCAAAGAAACAAAATTTATACAATGAACCGCCTGTATCAGAAATATTAGCAGCAGTTAATAGACTGGATAATCATGTAAGTGAGGCAATAAGGGATATGAAGACAGCCCTCGATAAATATGGAGACCTTAGCTTTGAACTGAATGAGAGGCTATCGAAATTAGAAAAACATCTCGAGGGCCAAGCCAAACATTTTGAGATCATTTCGGAAAATAAAGCCCTCAAAGCTCGAGTCGGCGATTTAGAAATCCGCCTAAATAAAACAGAACAGGGTCTATTATGTAGATCGCTGGAGATCCGTGGGATATCAGTGCGAGCAGGCGAGACACCTGCGGCTCTGGTGACCAGTATAGCCGTGGGGCTGGGCATCAAGCTAGGAATGGAGGATGTGGATGTAGTGCAACGCCGCAGAAGCAAGAAAGATGACTCACGACCGCCGCCAGTAATAGCACATTTCGTCAGGCAGTCAGTGAGGGACGACCTGATAGCGAGAAGAAAAGTGAAGAGGGACTTCTCGACGCACGATATCGGGTAGCAGGAAAACGACTGCCACCGAATTTATCTCGGCGAGGAGATGACACCTACGAACAGGCACCTCTACTGGATAGCCCGGCAGAAGAGAGCTGCCGGGAAGATAAGATACGTATGGTTCGCTTCTGGCAATGTGCGATGCCGAAAAGACGACGGCCATCAAGTAATCTTGATTAATCAGGCATCGGATCTTGACGTTTTCGCCTGACTGTACAGGTCTCATCACTTCTCTTTCTTCATAGCATTTTTTATCTTAATTGGTGCCCAAATAATTTTGAAGATTTTGGTTAAACTGTCTCATAGCTCTTGTTTGCTAATTTGTTTATTTTCTTTCTCTTGTTACTCACTTATTTTTTCAATAGTCACTTCTATGTTGCTTATTAGTATCTTAATTTTTTTTTCAGGATATGATATATGCCTCATTCCCTCTATGCTAATTTCTGACTGTTTCCCACCAAATCCTCCCCATGTCTAGTATCCTAACTACCTGTCATGTTAACTCGCAATCCCTTCCCGCCCATTATGATGAATTCCTGCAGTACTTTTCTCAAAACTTTTTTCACATCATCGCAATTTCAGAAACCTGGCTTAAACCCTATATTCCGTCCTCATCTGTCTCCTTACCTAATTACTCCCTCATCCGCCACGACCGGGCCAGCCGGACTGGTGGTGGGGTAGCCATATTTGTCCATGATAGCCTGAAGTCCTGAATCCTTGATTACTCCCCACCCTCCAAACATCCACAAGTGGAGTACCTTCTAGTAGAAATTACCTGTAATAATTCCCCTCTCCTCTACACAGTGATCTACCGTCCTCCCCTTGTTCCATTTGATCCGTCCTTAGAATCAACCCTTCTCAACTTTGTTCCCCTCTATCCTAGAATAATCATCGCCGGTGACCTTAATACCAATTTCCTCTCTAATTCCAAAGACAAAACCTATTTTTTCCCCTTCATCTCTTTATTGTTCCTTTTTATCCTACTCACCATGTCCGCAAGGCCGACTTGGTTAGATTTCTTCATTATAGACTCCGAACAAAATCTCCTCTCCTCTTCTCAACTGCCAATATCCTTCTTATCCTCTCACGACATGATCCTAATAACATATAATATCCAAACCCCTCTGATTCATCCGAGAACCTTCACTTTCCGTCAGATAGACACTCTCACCTGTGAAAAAATACTACCCGACCTTGAAACCTTAGACTTGAACGAAATATATTCCTGCTCCTCCATTGACTCCATGGTTGAGATTCTGACTTCCAATCTCCTCAATATCCTTAACACCCATGCTCCCATAAAAACCTCAACCTTTCGCCGCCGGTCTGCACCTTGGATGTGTCAAGAAATTAAGGATGTGCAGAAGAGGCGTGATGCTGCCCGTAGACGCTTTAGACGTACCAGGCTTACAGATGATTATCAAGCGTTTAGGGTGCTCCGCAATTTGACACAAACAAGAATTCGGCGAGCTAAAGCTTCCTACTTCCAT